ACGCTGAGAAACTTTGCTAGTTTAACAGAGAGGTTTTCTCTAGGGTAATAAAACTCTCGCATTGTTGTGCCAGGGATTTTCCATTAGGTGTGTGTCAGCGGGTGGTGGGAGCTGCAGTTTCTGTGGCCGGTCATAGAAATGGAGTGAGATCACCCCAGAGAAGCTGACCACAGATCCCAGTGAGTCCACAACGGCAAGAACTGGGAAGAGAGCTGGGGGAAGGGAGGTTTGCATACAGCTAACGGGTCCCCCAAAGGTTTATTTTTTTTTTTCCCTTCTGCATCTACTAATTAGCAGTCACTTTCGAGTCTGATAAAACAGTCCCAAGGCTTCTCCCTTTTCCTTCAACCCAGGGGAAGGCCTCTCTCTGGACAGGCTAAGTGAGGCAGATGTGCAGCTCCATCTTCTGCCTGCCTGCCTAAAATCCCATAAGCAGCCCCGCAGCATGGAGACAAAGGGCAGTGCAACACAGCAGCCTCTACCCCTCCAGCCGCGGGGCTCTCTAGGGAATGCAATGGTCAAACCTCATACAATCTCCCCGTTATTTGTACTGTACTAGGCAGAAGGGGCTTCGCCCAGGCTGAAGGGAGCAGTGATTTAAGGTGGGGGGTCAGAATGCCGGTTCAGAAGATCCCATGGCTGGTGAACCTGCAACTCTCTGTTACTTATCAGTGAGGACAAAGAGTGAAGGACTTGGATTCATATCTGAGTCAGACCAAACTGATGGCTAAAGCAGCCTTGGTCACAACAGCACTATGAGCATCTCTCTTAAAGCTGAAAGATACACTACATTATGGTTCTTCTTGCTCATGTGTGGATTTGTACACATGGGATGGTGTGAAAGGGAGGTATTTTTTAAGGTGTGAATGCAAGGATACTTGGGTCTGCAACCTTATGGTGGCATAAGTATTTTTCCCTATAGAGAGAAAAAATGGAACAGTTTTCCAAAGAGAGCCTTGCTTTTGATGTAGTGTTCATTTTACATGACACTGGTTTGGGGATGTCAGTTAAGGTTAGTGGTCTTTCAGCTTCTATATCTTGGTATTGCTTTC